GTCCTGCATGTTGGTCCTGAGCCCTGACCCTCGGAGAGGTGACAGTGAGCATGCAGTGGCTGTGGGCCTTTGGTCAGGACATCCCACCCCGTGCTTTACCCCATGCTGGTTCGAGGCTGGGGCTGTCTTTTGGAGCCCAAGAGAGGTCTGATGCTAGTGGACTGGCACTCCTCCCATGACACGGCCAGCCTGAGCACCTGCCCCCTAGCCCTGCTGAGGTGGCACAGGGGCACCTGCATGAGCACCCTGGTCCTCCCTGGTGCAGGTCAGGTGGCCTCAGTGCTACAGACCTCGGGTGCACTGCCCACCCCGTGAGCCCTGTGGTCTGTGCTGATCCCCTGCAGGCAGCAGAGGAAAACTGAGGGAAGCACCTGGGGTCTAAGGAGGCCATCCCAGACTGGTTTTCCTAGGGCACCCCTCACTCCAGGGGCCCTGGGGTTGGCTGGGGCCCATATGGATGGGGCTGCCAGCACCTGCTGCAAGCGCTGGCGGGTTTGTCTTGGGGCGTCTGCCTGGCTCTGAAGGGCTCCCCTTGACTCCTGAGACACCCACCTGTCTTCCTCGACCCGGGCTGCCGGGTCCTGCTCCCTCCCAGCCGCGCTGTATCACAGCCATGCTGCTCTGTAGGGCTGCTGGGGTCTGGTGCTGCGTGGTGCAGTCATCCCTGGGGCTCCTCTGGTGAGCTGCCTGCGTTCGCTGTTCTTGAGGAGCGAGCTCCTGAGTGTTTGTCTCTGTGCCCTTTTTCTGTTTTCTGTTAGACTTCCAGTCTTTCTAATTGATACAGCAGTGCCCTGGAGATCAAACTCATGGCCTCACACTGAGCTTCATCCCCGCCCTTTTTAAAATTTTTGTTTTGATGCAAGGTGTCACTAAGTCACTATGCTGTCCAGACTGGTTCAAACTTGGGGTCTCCTGCCTCAGCCTCCTAGAGTGCTGGGATTCTCGGTGCCTGATTTACTCTTTTTCCTGTTGCTTTGAAGGAGGTACTTGCTAAAGCATTTCCTCACAGATTCTCCCTTGGTAGCTGTTTTGAGTTTGCTCACGTATGATTTTTTTTTTATTCTTGTAAAGGTTTTAAATTTCTGGGTTAGTAAAAAGCCTTTGTCTTTTTCTGTTTGATGTTGTATTTTTGTCACTGACACGTTAACCTGGGGACCTTCTGGAGTGATTGGGTGGTTCCCAACACCCATCTTTGCAGCTGGCTTTAGGTCACCCTCATCCTGGCTGGGTTGCACAGGGGACCTGGTGTCCTGATGGTCTCTGTGACACACGCCCTCCTCCATCAGCTTCGAGTGGCTATCCCTGGCCACCCTGTGGCACAGCCTTCAGAATGCTGGGCTATGCCCAGCTGTGTCCACCTTGAGCAGTGCAGAGGCTACAGAGGCAGAGATGACTTCAGGGGCTTCCACAGTGCGGGGAGAGGGCTGTGTGTCCTCCCCAGTGCGCCACCCACCCATGGGGACCACCCCAGCTGCCCTGTGGTTTCTGCGGCTCTGGATGTGCTGGCTGAGGGGACATGCATCCCCACAGCTCACTGCACTGCTGGGCTGTGGTCTGGCTTTATAGGGCTGCAGTGGCTGTAACTCCGACGTCCCCAGGAGCTCACAAACGGACAGCACTGTGGGAGGTGGTAGCCACCTGAGGGGCCTGGCTGAGAGTTGCTGGGTCCTTGAAGGGGAGTGGAGGCCGTTGCCCTCCTCTTTCCTTTTGCTTCTGTCAGGAGGGGGGAGTCCTCCTCCCATAGGACCAGAGCTGGGGGCAGGACCACACATGAATCTGGGTCAGTGGCTTGTATGGGTTCCACTGTGGCCCTGAGGAGTGGGCTGCTGGTGGCTGCTGTGCTGCTCAGCCCCTGTATTCCTGCTCTGCTTCAGCACTAGTTCTCTGGATGCCAGGCTGGGACGACCACCCTAGCATGGCTGTCACAGAGGCGCATGTGCTGTGCCCTTCTCACCTCATGGGGCTGCTATGGCAATGCCCTGGGCCTGGCGTTCAGGGCAGGGCCTGAGCTCTCCACTGTGCCTGGGGCCACCAGCTGCTTCTGTCATAGCTAGCCCAGGACATGCCCAACACTGAGACATCACCCATCCCAAACCCTGCTGCTGTGTCTCTTGACATCCCAGTGAAGACTGAGGGCTGTGTGGCCCCAGCTCCCGTTCTGGAGTGGGGCGGGTGAGTACAGAGGGAGCAGCTGGAGGCGGGGCTAAGGTGTAGGAGTACACGTGTCCTTTGGCCTTGTCCTGCCCTGCTCTGAGGATAGCAGAGTCTGGCAAAGTTTCTGCCTCCTCCTCTTCTGGGCTTGGCTGCTGCTTCCTCCTCTCAGTGCATGGCTTCTCCCGGTGTAAGCCAGGAAAGTACAGTGCTGAGACCAGGCAGCATCCGCTCAGACACACTCGGAGAGAGCAGTGCTAGTCTGCAGCCACCTGACCTCCAGACCTAGGGCTTGACCTCTGTGCTCCAGAGTGGCCTGGGCTCACGCTGTTCCCTGCCTGTCCGCATCCTCAGCCACTGAGGCTAGGACTGAGTAGGGGTGCCAGCAGGCTCATCTCTCCTGCACTGTCTGTCCGGAGGCCATCAGGACTCTGCATTGGTGATATAGTCTGCGTTGATGTAAACCCACACATTGCATGGGAGGTGTATCCTACCCATTGCCTCAGGGACACTAGACGCAAGGGGACCCTATAAGCAGTGAGGGCCTCCTGCTCTGCATCCGAGCCCTGGCTCTTGCCCCAGTCCCACAGCTACACAGGGACTGGCGTGGCCCAGGTTTCTCCTGGCCACGCCCTGAGCACTTCTGAGTTGTGGCTGTTCTGAGGTGGGGATCTCCACCACCACTGCCCAGGCCTCGGTGGAGCCGGTCCACATGACCTGCAACCATGGGGCTCCTGAGGACATAGTTCTACCACTTCCAGTTAGCCAGAGCAGGCCTGGCTGTGGTCATCCTGGAGTGTGTGATAGTAGCCCTGCCTACCTCATGGTGCTGGGCAGATGGCCCTGATGGGCCTGGCAAGCCTGCATCCTGCATCTGGGGCATTTTCCTGGCACTTTCCGAAGCTGACTTGAGTCACGCCTGGGTCATAGTTCACTTTGGTGACTAAGCGCCCAGTCCCGTCATCTCCCAGACTCCTGTAGCCACAGCGTTCCTGGGGCCCAGGTGACATGTGAACTTGTCCCAACCTTCACTGCCCTGCCTGAAAGGCCAGTGGCCACTGTAGCTCCTCATGCTTGGGGCCCAGCTGCCACTTGCCTGGACATCCTGTCCTTGGCTGTCCTTCAGGGTTCTGGGCAGAGTGCTGCTCTCGCAGAGCCTTGCTTTCTCATACAGAAAATTTAGTGTGTTCCTGACTGACATGCACTGCTACTCCGTGTCTCCAGGAGGTTCACCGTAGGCTTTTAGAGAGGTCCTACTAGGTGATGGTGAGGGCGCCTGTGGGCAGTCCAGTGCAGAGCGTCACTGCCAGGGCAGCTGGGTCTGGTGTGCAGCCGCCTAACAGCAGCATAGAGCAGTGCGGAAGCAGCGATCCTCCTAGCCGTGGAGCTGGAGAGCGTGGAGTCACAGGCCTAGTCCCTTGGAGGTCTCCCCTGGGCTTACTGGTGGCATCCTGTGTCTGTCCTGGCTTCTTCTTTTAAAATGCTTTTAAAATGACGTTGGAGCTCTCATTTTACCTGAGCTCTGTGACATTGTCTACAGATATAGTCACACTTACAGGCCCTGGGCCTCTGTGCCCCTCCCAGTGGGATGTGTAGCAGCCATGGGGCCAGGTAATGTCACAGCTCTCAAGACCAAAGACCGAGCTGTAGATGACAGGTGATGCCCCAGGCAGGAAAGGGCATGGGCAGGCCTTGCTGCCACACTTTATCAGGTGCCAGCACTCTCCATGTCCCTGTGTCCCTGGTGGGCCTGCTCCAGGGACAGGTGTGGGTGCTTGGCAGCCTTTGTCCCGCTGCTGGAGGGACTCATGAGCATGCTGAGCTGACTGGCTCTGCCACCACAACTGGATGCATCTCGACCTTCCCGCCTCTGTTCCTGCATGACTGCAGCAGGCCTGGCCTGGGTCTCCTGGGCTATGCCATGTGGCTGTGGTTTCTGCTATGTGGTGGCTGGGCCTTTGATGTCCAGAGCACCAGTGGCCTGCTGTGTAGCCTGGAAGGCAGCACTGTGAGAAGCAGCAGGGGGCCTGGGATTGGGCAGGGTTGGTGGCACTGGAAAAAGGCTCACTCATACGTCCAAGCGTAGGACAGTGCCCTTCCCCCTCCCACCTGCCCTGGGTTGACCAGATGTCCCCCAGAGGTGGTAGCACCTGTGTAGAAAGCCTGGGACACGGGGCCGCTGGTACATCGCTGCTAACCCAGTGGAGTAGGGGTGGGCAACCAGCCTGGCTGCAGAGGGGATGTGGCAGCAGGCAAGGGAGGGCTGGGTGCTTGTCTCCTGCACCAGATGGGCCAGTTGGCTCAGGGACAGTGCCGTGACCAGCAGAGGAGCCTGCCCCTGGGTGTCCTGGTTGTCTGCCTTCAGTGGGGAGTGGTGGCAGTGCTTTCCTGGACGATGACCCAGGACCCCACATTGTAGGGCGTGGGGTGTGGTCTCACCGCCCCTGGCAGTGGCCTGAGTGTAGCCTGGAGCAAACAGCATGTAGGCTGGGCTGCTGTCCTGTGTATTGGTGTACTTCTGCCCGGTTCACATCCTTCGGGCTGCATAGAACCTGCACTCAGACCTGAAGTCACCGTGAATGAGGTGGCTAGGGTTCCTCCTTGTCGGTAATGCTGCCTGGCTTTCCTGGTAGGCAGTGGTCAGGGGGCAGGCTGTCGCCTGGGAGGTGCCCAGAGGGCCCTGGTGTTGTGCTGGCACACACTGCCATGTATCCCAGGGCTGCACAGAGCCCATGTGATTGGAGACCAGGGCTGCCACCAGCACAGTGGGAATGTGCTCCGTCCAGGCCTCAGGCACCATGGGGCAGGGCTGGGCACCCAGGACTCACCTGTGTATTTTCTCTCCTCAGGTGCTGAGGCAAAGACCATTTTGCCCAAGAAGGAGAAATTAAGGCAGCGGCGGGAGCGATGGTTGCAGAGTAAGTCTGTGCCTGCGTCTCCTGGGGCAGCCATGCCAGTTGTTCCCTCCTACACCCCGATGTGTGGCAGGTTCCCATGCAGGGGCCCTGCCAGGAGCCCAGAGTAGGTGCCATCAGGGAGGCAGCTGGGAGACTCTGGTGACAGTTACCCCTGCTATACGGGAATACATGTGGGCCCACTCTTCCGCTCTCCAGAAAGCCATGGAGGCTGCCGCTCCTGGGCCCTCGTTTGTCAGAGTCCAAACCGGCTGCTGTGCTGAATGTTTTCATTTCAGAAGTTGGCGTGTGCTGTGTCCTCCCTTGGCCTGTGGTTCTGGGTGCAACAGCAGTCGGCTCCTCCCGCCTGGCCCAGGGTAGAGTGCCCCGGGCTTCCAGCCAGGCCCTGCAGGCCAAGGGCCTCTCCGCTCACTCTTGCTCGGAATGCGTAGTTACTTTTCACGATGCTAATGGGCTGCTAATGTTCTTCTAAAAATATTCTTGTCTTATAGGAAGACCACAAAAGCCATGGTTTTGTACTTTTCTTCATAGTTATCTTTTTACTGTGATTCTGATGATTTTGTAAACTTTATTTGAAATGTTTCCTTCTTTATATCTCATATCTTGAAATGTTTACATTATCTTTTCCTGTAGGGTTTTAAAGAAATTGTGTTTTTTGGGGCTGGGGATTTAGCTCAGTGGCATAATTGCCTGCCTTGCAAGCAGGCAGTCGTGAGTTCGATCCCCAGTACTGATAAAAAGGAAAAAGACAAAAGACAAAAAAAAAAAAAAAAAAGAAAAAAAGAAATTGTGTTTTTTGAAGGTAATTTTTAGAGAAACTTGGCAGTTTATTCCAGGAATTCTAATTTTATGTTTTTGCCACTTCTGGAGTGTTGCTTACGTGGTGCGTGCTTTCGTGTTCTCTTCTCCTGATTCCCGGTGAAGGCCATGCAAGGTGTTTTTCGTAGGCTAACTCTGGACGTGTACATAGACTGTGCACACCTGAACATTTCTAGGGTGTCATTTTTGAGATGTGTAATTTTTCTTCTCTGGTGCTTGGTCTTGTTATTAGTTCCTTTACTTGATTTTGCCACCCATGCTTTCTTGAAATAATCAAATCTCAGCCTCTATCAGCATAGGGCTGTATGTTGGTTTCTCATTGTTGAATACCTTTTATGTTCTCCATATTACTCTTTACAGTGCCTCATTTCTGACTAGATTAGCAGGGAAGTTTAGCTTCTCCTGGGATTTAGTCATCAGCTCTGCTCTTGTTTCCCGAATCATTTGCTTTGCTCAGACTTTGTTCAGGCTTGCTTGCGGGCTGCCGTGTGTTCTCTGGAAACGCAGGGCTGTAAGTTGGCCGCTGAGTATAGTGGAGACTGCATCTTCCAGGTTGTTTTTTCTTCATGTTTTATTGTCAAAAATGGCATTCAGGAAGCATTTTACAGTGAGCTCTGTTGTACTGACCTGGAGATCTTACGATTGGCGTGCTGCTCCTCTGTCTCAGCACCACAGTCTGTCCGTCCAGCGACAGTGCACACCCCAGGGTCTGTTACACTCCCCACAGTACGTCTGCTGCGGTTCATTTTGTTTAAGGACCCTTTTCCTGCCTTTTCTCTGGAGGCTGGATTTGTGTGGGGATTTCAGACAGTCACGTGCAGCCAGAGTCCCTCTCAGGGTGTTGGCTTCCTCACCACCCAGAAGTGCCCATTGGCTGTGTTGGATCAGGGCTCTGCTCCATGAGCGGAATGTGGAGGCACCATCTTGCCTGCCTGTCAGTCTGTTCGTCCATCAGTCTGTCTGTCCATCCGTCCATCTGTGCTCCCTGGCCGTACAGAGTGGAGCTGAGCCTTTTGAGCAATGCGCTGTGTGTGCACCCCTGGCCGAGGCTCTCGTGGGGGCACCTGGCTTTGCCATGTTTGGCTTGATGCGTAGGGCTGACCTTGCCTTCGCGCCTCGGTGGCCATGTTTTGGTTTCTCTTGTGTAAACACTCAGGAATGGAACGCCGGGTCATAGGGTGGGTGCATGTTTAGCTTCACGAGCGACTGCCAGGCGTCAGTAACAAGCCGTGCCTCTGTGCCCCTCCCCCGGCAGCGTGGGAGAGTTCGCAGCATAGCCTCCCATCCGCAGCTGCAACCCGAAGCCCCCCCCCAGCCTCCCATCCGCAGCTCCCTCCATAGCCTGCCACCTGCAACCCCCACACCTGCAGCCCCCAAGCAGCCCCCGCACCCATGCACCATCCCCTGGGCCGCTGGCGTCCCGAGGAGGGCATTGCCCTAAGCTCTGCCTTTCCTTCCCGGGGTTCTCAGGGTACTCTGCGTCCTGGGCACCAGTCCTTGGGCGGCTGTGTGGTTCGCCAGTATTTCCTCACAGCCTGTGACTGCCTGTTCATTTCATGCATTGTTCTGTTCGGGAGCTTCCTTCTGAGCAGTTTGTACCCTTTCCTGGCTGTGGCCTGTGTGTCTGATGTGAGGGAACCCTCAGGGACCCGCCATGTACCCTCTGTGCTCCCTCCTGACTTGCAGCCTCTTGTCCTGCAGTGGGGCGGCAGCTGCCCTGCACCAGGGTCTGAGGCCTCTTGTTGTACTGACTGTCTCATACTGGTACACCCCAGCCTCTCGGGGACCGCGCCATCATTGGTCACTGTGAAGGAGCAGCGGCCTGGTAGGCTGGGGCTGCCTGTGTCCCCGCGTGGGTGCGGTCACGTTGCTGTTTCACAGCGTGGCGTCTTCACGCCCACTGGTATCGTGCGGCTCTTCCAGAGGCTTTCCCTGCCTGCCTTTTCTGTTCACTTTCCTGTGTTTGTATGAGTGTGTGTGTGTGTGTGTGTGTGTGTTCCGTTTGGACAAACTCACTGCTCATTGCTTCACAAGTTTTGTTGACCCTTCGGGGGCAGACCTTTGGCACTGCTTTCCTTATTCTGGGCTCTGCAGCACCCAGTCCTGCCTGCCTCCTAAGTCCCCCACCCACCTACCCTCCCAGGCCCTGGCTCTCCAGGGAGAGGGGCTGTGCCAGGTGTTTACCACCTTCCAGGTGGGAGCCCAAGGTGCCCAATTGTCCCCTTGCAAGTCAGTAATCCCAGAGGGCAGAGGGAAGGGGCTGTCTTTCCTGACTACCACCCTGGGCCTGCAGGGACATTGGTGGCCTTGTCAGTGGGGGCCCGAGCTCAGTTCAGGCCCCCACACGTCCAGGAACACTGAGGGACTTTTCTGATGACTGTTCTGATGACATTGACTTCTGAAGACCATGCCTGCGTGTGCAGACCCTGCCAGCCCCCCTTCCCTATGCCTCCCCCATGCTCGCGCCCTCGAATCCTTGTCTGGCACAGGGCCTGCTTGCAGGAGATGCCTCACTGTCTCTGCTGCTCCTGGACGGGGCGCCTGGGCTGTGCTGCTGTCCCTGCGCAGAAGCGACCCCAGCCTTGGCCCCAGGCTCACACTCAGCCTGCAATTAGAAACCCTGTGCTGTGATTACTCGGGGGTGGGGGTGGGGGGGGCCTCAGCCCCCGGGGCAGGTGTGAGTGACAGCAGGAACCTGCAGCTGCTGGACGTCTGTCCTTCTCTGACCCTGTGCCCATTTCCTCAGAAATCGAAGCCATCAAGCTGGCTGAGCAGAAGCGCAAGGAGGAGCAGAAACGCAGGGCCACAGCGGTGGTAGGCGACCTGCACCCGTTGCGGGACGCCCTGCCCATACTGGAGGAACTGGAGGCCTGGCGCCCACTGCTGCCCAGGGGGTGAGTGGTTGAGGGCCCACTTGTCGGAGCTGTGGCCAGTGAGCCTGTGTCCCCAGGGTGGTGGTAGGCGTGTGAGCTTGGGTGTCCTAACACGAGACCCTCGCACACTGGCTTAAGCCCTCGAGACACCAACCCTGCTGTCCTGAGACCTTCACGTCCCTTCTATCAGCCTCGGCTCTAGTCTAACCACTGCCCAGCCTGTTAGCAAATGGCTGCCCAGTCATGTACTCCATCGTGACTCCAGGGCCTTTGCATGTGCTGGCTCCTCCCAGGAAGTTGGTGCCTGCCCTAGTGGGGGCTGTGTACTCCTCCCAACCCTGGAGCCTGGGGCCCATTGTCAGCACCCAGTATGTCTGTGTAGAGCCTGAGGATGTTCTCTGAGGCCCTTGAGGGGCAGTGGCCTCAGCTGTGGGGAGCCACTGGGATTATTCTGTCACAGTGACTCTTTACTGCTGACATTTCTAACCCTTCTCTGCTGCTGAGCTTCCTTCCGAAGGGAAGCAGGAGCCTGCAGTGTCACAGAACCAGAGGGTTCCGGTGGCCTCCCGCCATGGAGGCCTCAGGATGCTCGCACAGATAAGGGGCTCCAGAGGGTCGGGCGGGACGGGACGGAACGGGATGGTGGAATAGTGCCAGCCTTGCAGATCCCAACTGAGCAGAAACATAACCTGGTCAGAGGTCCTTCCCTCTTTTCGGTTTTTTCACCTGAAGAACGTGTTGGGTTCCTGCCTGCCAGCCAGAGGAGGAATATGCCGGGGCTCAGGCTGTGGGCCTGGGGGTGTGAGGGTCGCTCCCCTCATCACAGTGTCCCTTCCAGGGGCTCGTGTGGCGTTGCTGTGTGGGCCACCCAAAGTGGGACCAGCCATGGCTCCCTCGCCTCACCCCACCCACCGTTTCTGTTGGCGAGGGAGTTCCTGGCTATGCAGATCACTCCTGGGTGACAAGGCATAGGTTCCCCGACAGCTCAGCTACTAGTGTCTTTTCCCTGTGGTCCAGTCCACCAACACCACTGCCTGGTTCCTGGCATGGCCCAGTAGTAGGTTCCCGCCCAGGGCAGTGCTGCCCTCTGGGGACATTGCACCAGTAGGCACAAGGGCGCAGCAGGCCACTGAGGGCCCCCTCAGGCTCCAGGCAGCGCCCCACAGGGAGGAGCAAGCTAGCAGGTGAGAAGGAGGCACGAGGCCACAATGCTGGAGCCTGGCAGTCTTTCCTGGGGGGGCCAGCAGCTCAGGCGCTATTTCAGGAAGACAGAAAATGTCTTCATATTTTAGAAGAAACATGAATAAGAAATCAGGCCCCCTGGTCAGGAGGCTAAATTTAGGTGTTGCCTAGAACTCAGCTTTTTTCTGCCCTCGCTCCTGGCCACTCCCCCAGCAGGTGGTGTGTGGCACTGTCACTGGCTTGTCAGGCACACGGCTCTCAGGAAGCAAGCCTGGTGGCCACTTCCCGTCCCCCAAGCAGGGCCTGGGGCCGAGTGGGTGGGACAGGTCTCTGTGGAGTTGGCAGGTGTGCTGCAGGCAGCCTGAGCTGGGAACCCGGGATACCCCCTGAATCAGGCTTGGGTAGTGGCTTGGAAGGTCCTGGGGTTATCTGGTGGGGCTGCCCCACCTAAGGCTTCCTCGGCACATCGGTGTCCTCAGCACATAGGGATTTGCATCTGGTCTCAGGGCCACTGAGCATGACATTCACCACCTGGACAGGTGGCAGGCAACAGCCAGTCTGCTGCCTGTTCTCAGGTTGGGCCAGGCAGAGAGGATACAACGTGTGAGTCCCAGCATGTCAGGCCATGTCCTCAGGGCCTGGGCATCAGCTCGGACACAGTGGCCTGGAACACAGTGGCAGTGGCCGCAGCCTGCACAAGACCCATGCCTTCTTCACCTGGGCACGCTGTGACTGCCCAGACCTGAAGGTCTCATGTGGACAGGGGCCAGTGATGAAGCTCCTCTGTGTTCCCACAGGGTGAGCAGTAAGCCCCGGCCAACCCAGCTCAGCCGCATGAGTGCAGTCCAAAGACAGCAGCTCCTGTGAGTATGGATTCCCAGGCTTCCGCCCACGGGGCAGCGCCTCTTGCATTGTCACTGTCAGTGGAGGCCTTTCACTGGACGCCTGAGGGGGGGTGGAGGGTCAGCAGCAGGAGGAGGAGGAGGTGACAGTCCCCTGCAGGGCCCTGGTAGCCCTCCATGTGAGGCATCCCCATGACAACCCAGAGCCTGGGCCAGCACAGTTTGAACACGCCTGTGGTCATCTGGGGCTTAGCTAGTGTGTGAGGGTCACCACCTCAGGTCCCATCTGCAGATTGACCCCAGGTTCCTTGTGGTTTTGGGGCACCCAACCTGAGGGCTCACATAGCCTCTGGGCAGCAGAGTGCTCCCAGAGGTGACCTGGTTGATTTAGCAGGCGATGGCATAGAAAGGGGTGGCCAGCCATCAGCATCTTGGGCCCTGAACTTCTCTGCGACAGCCTGTCCCACCCCCTGCTTGGGCTCATGGGTGGCTATTTTGGGTTATTTTGGCTATTTGGGGGAGCAGGCGCCTCTTATGTAAGGCCTGCATGTCTGCAGGGCGGGCAGACTGTCACACTGCTATCTTTGCTTGGCAGGGTGACCCCTGCAGACCTCTGGGCAAGCAGGTGTTCCCAGGTACTGGTCACTGTTCGGACGGTGACACCAGGCTCTGCTACCAGTGCTGTGTCGGGCATGGGTGTGGGATGGCCGGTTCTCCATGCCCACTTGCTGACCTGTGGTCTCCATTCTTTCAGTGAGGAAGAAAGAACCCGGTTCCGGGAGCTGTTGGCCAACCCGACCTACAGAGCTAGCCCTCTGCTGGCCATTGGACAGCAGCTGACCCTTCAGATGCAGCTGGAAGGCACCGGCCAGCTGTGACCAGGAGGTGGTGCCACATACTCTGAGGGTCCCAGGCAGAGGTGCAGGGAGGCTGTGCATGGTGATCCCCTCCCGCAGGGCCTTCCGCTCATCTGGCTGGAGTACAGCCACCATGTGGTCTGTGCAGCTGTCACGACAATTCTGCTGCCGCTCAGGGTACCTGCATCTCAGGGTGGAGCTGGGCACAGCTGAGTAGTGCTTTGGCAGGGGCCCTCAGGTCTGGCTTCCCCACCAAGTACAAGCTCCCAGCTTGCCTCAAAGGGATCCTGATGGCACAGGAGCCTGGGCTGCCTGCCTGGCTCTTGGGGTCCCACCTGGTACCTATGTGCTGCCTCCTGCTGTCCCCCTGTCCATACCACCTTCACCAGGGCTGTGGTTTCCTTGTGGCCCGCTCAGTCAGGCTGCTCTCCGCCCCAGAAGACGGTCTTGTGCTCGTTACCAGCCACTGGGACTTGTGAGTGGCATCCCCTGCTGCAGCCCCGCACTCTGCTGCTCCCACCCCTGTGTGCAGCACCCGATGCCCTATGGCTGCAGGGAGCCCCAAGAGGGGCCAGGCACTGGCACCTGCTGCTCTCCAGCCCCAAGTCTATCACTGAGGCCTCCTTTCCTGGGTGAGCAGCAGGACCTGCAGACACGACACAGACTCCCTAGAGGCACCTGGCCCTGCAGTGGGCAGCAGATCGCAATCGGTGGATCCAGCCAAGCACACAGAGCAGCGGGTTCCCAGGGGGGAGATATCGGTGACACCTGTTTCTACGGGAGGCACAGGACAGAGCCTTGGCTGTGTGGCCTGGTAGGTGGCAGGCAGCTTGGTCCTCAGTGACCTGTGAGCTGTCCCCCACTGCTGGTCCTAGGTGACGTGGGCCTGCCTGGCTGGCTTTGCCTCCAGTCACCGTCCCTTACCTCTTCCTGAGCACTGGGACCTTCCCTGCAGGGTCCCTGAGGAGGCAGCAAAGCAACAGCTGGGGTGTGGGATGGCCTTGGAGGGTGGGGAGGCCCTGCAGGGGATGAGAGCTGGGGACTGGCAGTCCAGGTCCTGGTCTCCTTTCATCTGAGCGGCTGTGGCTGTGGCTGTGGCTGTGGTGGCCACCCTCGCCTGAATGCCTGCTGCTGAGGTCACTCGGGAGCAGACACCCACGCTCTCCAGACAAAGCACACAGCCCCAAGCAGCAGGCTGTGAGTGGATGACAGGGACCTGGCTGTTCCTGAGTCCTCTGTCTTTATGGCATGAGCCTACATTACTTTGTAATAAACTTAAGTGGAAAAGTTACACAGCTGAGTGACTTTCATGCTTTTAAGCCCTGGAGCCTTGGGTCCATTTCCCTATTGCAAGGGTAAATGGCAGATGAAAGCCTGCCACCCTGGGCAGGCATCCGAGCAGCCTCCCAGAAAAGGGCAGACTGGAGGTGGGTTGGTCACAGCCCCATCCTTGAGTGGTGGCCCCAGGGGACCCAGTGTCAGTGGGAAGTAGCCACCCCCACCCCCGCCTGGGACCAAGGCAGGCCTGTACTCTGAGTTGCCCTGGTGGAGCTGGCAGATCCCAAGTGACTACAGGCACCAGCTCTGCGAGTGGGACTTCACTTAGGTGGCAGCCTGGGACCTGTCCTCCACAGCTGGCCACTGCAGGGGAGGCTGGACACTTGGGCTGAGAGCTGCACTCATGCTGCCCATATGGTGGTTCTGTGGCTGCCACAGTGGGTGCAGGCGCTGCTGTGTGTGTTTTGGGTGTGTGATGTCCCATAGCCCATTTGAGTCAGGTGCAGTGGTGCTGGCCTGGGGCCAAGTCAGATGGACACATGGCACTGGCCTGGGGCTGCCATGCTCTGGGTGCCGAGAATGCCTCACATCTGCAGTGTGCAGCCTGCTCCAAGCTCTGGTGGACCAGGTGCTCTGGAGATGTCCTTGGGGGCATCCTGGGCACCAGGGTTTTAAGAGGCCCCTTTCCTTGGCTGGGGCGTAGCCCTCCACCACATGGGTGGTGAAAATGCTGGGATGTGGGGGTTCGGGGTCTAAGTAGGGAGGCGTACAGCTGTGGGTGGTGGGCAGGGCTGGGCTCCTGGCGGTTGGGTCACCTGCAGCCCTGTTCCTCGAGGTTCTCTGCCGTTTTCCTTTCCCCTCTGGATGGAAAGTTTCTGTGAGCAGAAACCTCTGCCCAGTATCCCCGGGCCCCAGCACCCTGGAGCAGTGCTGCTTGGTGAGAGTGGAGGAGGGAGCAGGTGAGGCTGTGGGCCATCCATGGTGTCCTGAGGGGAGGTGGCGCTGCCCAATTAATACAAGTGACTGGCCCTTCCCACTGGCAAGGTGTTGGTCCCCTGGCTGTCATCCAGGACCCCTGGGTGTGCATTTGGGGGCAGCTGAGTGCCAGCGCTTGTCCACTGTAGCCCCACAAGCTCCGGCTCCAGGGTGCACCTGAGGGCCTCAGGCTTGCCCTTGTGTGGGGCCATGTGCTCCACTCCTGGGGTGCTGGGCTGGCAACAGCATCAATCACAGCCAGCCAGGAAGGCTGAGCTGGATGTCACGACTTGTTTGCACAAAGGCCGGCCTGTGGCCGGGCAGCCTGGCAGGCAGGGTGGGACACAGGCACAGACACAGCTCCCAGGCGGGCCGGGTAGACGCACCCGATGGGCTTCTGTGCCGCTCGGGAGCCAGGAGTTGAGCAAACACCAAGCGTGTTGCTTCTGGAATGTTCCTGCAGTGATAACATCGCTCCAAGATGCTGAGAGTGCTGGCTGCCATCCAGGCCTCGTCTGGTGCAGCTCCCGGACGTGGTCCCTGGTGTGGCCAGGGAAGGCCCATCCTGTGCCGCTTCTAGCTGCCGCCTGTGACCAATGTCCGGGGCGCTGTTATCAGTGGAGCCTCCAGGATGTTGGGGAGCCGGCTGGCCAGCAAGATAGCAGGCGTCTGGCCTCCACCACCCTCAGAAGCCGGGCTTGCTGCTGGCCCAAGACCCTCTCCCTGTTCTAAAAGCCAGAGATGCAGCTCAGCTGAGTTTTCTTCTAAGGTTACAGCGATGACAGAGCTGTTCTGGTGCTGGGTGGTGGTTAGGTCTTAGTATCAGGGAATCTTACTTTTAAAACCTCAGAACATTTCTCAGAGAAAGTGTGCAGGTACACCCACTTCTGAATCCAAGTTTCTTTCCGATGCCCAGAGACTCCGGTGAGGTCTCATCAGCCTCTTGTCCCCTGTCTTGTACCACCCAAAAGACAACTGTACCAGCAAGGGCACCCTGGTTGGGAAGCCCAGGAATTGGTGTAATCCCAGGTGGGGAAACTGAGGCATGCTGTGTGTTGGCAGGGCAGTGCCCCTCTGACCTGCAGCCCTGCCCTTCTTCTCAGACCCTCTGCCTCTTGCTCAGAGCATCACACCTGGGCCAGCAGCCACAGCACAAGCAGGGCTCAGGTAGGGCAGATTAACAGACATAACACACCGCACATGCAGACACAGGTGTGTGTAGACGTGATGTGCATGCATGCACACAGGTGCATACCACATCACCCTTTGCATGCAGGCAGATGTATATGCAGACAGTGTCGTAGGCACACAGATGCCACACCTGAGCGTATGCACAGATGCTGCCTGGCAGATTCACACACTGTCTTGTGGGCCAGGAGCAGCTTCTGTGCAGGGGCTCCCAGGGTGGTCATGGCAGTGGGTGACCTCCGGGGGCCCTGAGGGGGCAGGGCTTTCTGCACCAGCACCTGGGATTTCCAGCATGGTGTTAATTATTTTCCTTGCTCCCCCACTCCCCCGGGCAGGGGAATATAATTAGCTGACAATAGTTAACTGGGGAATCCAGGCACAGCCCAGGCCTCTGCCTGGTCCCTGGGACAGATGGAGCTTTCTTCCTCCTGACAGGGGCCTGGCTGGCGCCCGCTTACACCCAAACCCAATGAGCCAGCCCTGCCCAGTGCCTGTCCCCTGGCAGGGCCATCCCTGGGCTCCATCTTGAGCTCTTGACTGCCCGCTGGTGCCCAGTGTGGGCAGCCCTGTATGAGCTCAGAGGATGGTGGGGCTGCCCTCTCTGGAGAGACCTGGGCCCTTGGCAGCCCTGGGCCACCTGCGTCCCCCTCATGCTCAGATGTTACTGCAGGAAGAGAGAAACCTTGAAACCTTTCCTTGGGGGTCACCAGTGATGTCTGTGCACCCCTGTTGGCCAGGACAGTTCTGCACACTCCAAGGTCCACAGGAGACCTTCAAGCCAAGGGAGGAAAGCCCCATCCAGCAGCCACCTGCCCTGCGTCCTGGGAGGGGGTCCACAACCCCTTCTTGTGACCCTACCTTTAACCTCAGGCAACTAGGTCGGGAGCCCCTGGGCCAGGCAGCTGGCCTGCGGTGCTGGCTCTAAATAGCTCTCCAAGGTCATCGGTAGCTAGGAGGGTGTCACCAGCTGTGGAACCTGACCTGCAGCGTGGGAGGCAACAGATGCCTGTTGCCCAGGCAACAGATACCTAGGCCACAGCACGCCTGGCCCTGGGTCCTGGGCTCTGTGTGGCTGGGCTTAGGTTGAAGGCAGAGCCGCAGGGAGTTGAGGGGTGCAGCAGCCAGATGTCTGGGTACAGAGCCCAAGAACCTGCTCCAGTGTCTGGCAGGGGGCCTGCCCTGCATCATGGTGGGCATGACAGGATCCTGGTTTTTGAGTCACCACTGGTCACCAACATGCCTGTTGGTATCTGGAACCTCAGCATGGGAAAGCGGTTCCCAACGAAGGTCGAGTTCCTGGGAGTGTCACCCCCAAGGGGCAGGCTGGCTGTGACATGGCCAGGCAGCTGAAGTCCCTATCCTTCTTCCCAGGGAAACCTCCCACTTCCCCGCCTATTGGGGCCTTGGCCCCGGGAGAGGCCAATCAGGACATCCCATGTCCCCAGGAGACACCACGAGGCCACATAGCCCTCGTGTGAGGCTGAGCATAGCTCCAAGTGAGCCAGAGCTGTGGGCACATACACCTGCGTGTGTGTGCACACATGCGTGTGTCTTCAGGAGAAACCATGTTCCCGCTGGCCGTGGTGTAGGCATTCGCTTTTACACACGAACTCCAGCAGCCTAAGCGAGTGGTCCATTAAGCGAGTGGTCTTCCGCAGAGCAAAAGTGCATCTCGCTAAGCTCCACCTGGTGCCTGTGATGAAACCGGCATCTGCTGCTGTTCGTGTCCTGTGCACACCAGACTTATGCGCCTGTGTCCTGTGGCTGGCCCAGGTCCGGGTTTGGGGCACAGCTCCGCCCCGTGGCCCCCCCGGTCAGTCGGCTCCCTGCTGCTGCTCCTGTTCCTGCTCTCGATCCTGCTCCCTGGGGCTCTGGCTGCAGTTGCTCACCCCCATCTGGTGGCCTCTTGGGCTGGCATGTGTCTTGTTCTCTCCTGCCTCACCCTGAGCGGCCTTGGGGTCTAGGCACTGCTCCCATTCCCCGCATGGGCCAAAGCAGGCCCCCAGCCGGCCTGGCTTCTGTGTCCCAGTGTTGGGCCTACGTCCTGCGCCTGCCTTCATGGCAGGAGCCTGGGACACCCTCTGGGCTCTCCCAGCCTGCAGCTGGGCAGCCCCCACATCCTGGCCCTCGGGGCCTGCTGGCATGTCCCTGTCACTGTGTGACACATCCTGTATGAGGAGTTTGGTGAGGTCCAAGTGGCTGTGACTGCAAGGCTCCAGGGCCATCCTGTGCCTGCACCATGGACTCAGCCCAGGGGACCAACAGCCAGGTCACTCTGCCTGGGGCTCTGTGGCGCCCTGCACATATGTGGTCCCCACGGCCCTCAGGAAGTGCAGGGGGGTAGTGAACTCAGGCAACTCATGTTGGAGATGCATGTCTGTCATGGCTGAGTACAGGAGACCCCTGGGAGTGATGCAGGATTTGGGATGTACCCCAGAAGAGCCACGCTGGGACGGGACAGTCTGGTACCCTGGAGGAGCCCGCAGGGGGGTGCACTGTCACCCCCACCCCCATTTTCATTGTAAACAGTAAGTGACCTCTGGACTAAACCTGAATCCTGCCTGTGGAGGCTCGGAGATAACCCGTCCCTCAGAAGCAGGAGCGGCTGTGTGCGAAGATAAAGCAGCGTTTGCTTTGGAGACGGAACACAGCAGCCTGATTAGCCAGAGGCCAGTGGAGAGGACACATGGCCTGGCCTTGGCCTGCAGTTCCATCCAGGGATGTCTGGCCTAGCCATGCTGGAGGCGCGGGCCTGGGATCAGAGGACCGTGGCTCCAGTTGGGCGGCCTCTCTGTGCCACCCAGGGCAAGCTGAGATGGGTGGGCTCATGGCAGAGCCAGGCCCCAGGTA